GAGTGAACGCAATATTTTGCGTTTAAACGCAATCATTATTGCGATTAAACGCAATAAAAATATTTCTCTGAACTGGCCTCAACGGGCGTCCGTATGAAAGCACCAAGTGTCTACTTTATTTTGATATATCAAATGGGAAAGAGGGTGAGAGTTAATTAATTGATATAATTACAGGGCCATTTAATGCATTAAGTGAACTTAGCTCTTTACTACAAATTATCCTTGGTACGTGAAGGACCACGCCCTATTTCAAGGAGAGGTAATTCAGAAGTAGTGAAAATATGGTGGTATGTTTTAAGTATCTTCTCAAGAACCACTGGGTCTAATCGTTGAATCTTATATGAATCATTCTTTACATCATTACACACATGTGTTGATTTTAAGATCCTAAGGGGAAGAGTGGGTCACAATCAGGGTTCAAATGAATATAGAAGGAAAAATCTTTCCAAGAACAACAAAGCGGGGTTTAGGCAAAGTGATAAGGAACATCCTGAAGTAGTATAGATTTCAAGTTTGTTCAAAAGATGTCACATGGGGGGGGGGGGGGGGGGGGGGGAGGGGCCACAATGGGAAATGAAAATTTCATAGGAAGGAAAAGATCTTCTCAAGAATAGAAAAGCCACGTATATTGATAAGAGATATCGTAAAATTCAAGCGCTCCCATAAACTTTACAGTACTAAACCGATTTGTGCTTATTTTCTAAGAAAACGGTTGTTGAACGGATGATATTATATTATAAATATTTAATTGTATGAAACCAATTAAGATAAGGAAGGAAATCATACAATTAATGAAAATTTATTTTGCAGGTCATTTAGTCCCCCCCTTCTTTTTTGCAAAGATGGACAAACGATGCGCAATGCATATTGGGGCATAGGTTTAGCCCCCTTTTCAAAAAAGAAGAAATACTGAAAGAAGTTCGATCCTACATCCATCCCCCTAGCCGATGTGCTCAGGTGAGCGCTGTGGCCCCTGGGCCTCTTGTTTGGGGGTTGGGATTTTTTTCTCTTCTAACCCCCCCCCCCCCGCAACTATCAATTTGCTTATGACGCCCCCGCCTCCCATGTGGTTATAATGGCAAAGTCCATGTTTTGCTGTGGTCGGGAAACCTAATTAATGTGTGTCGGATCAAAAAATAAAATAGGAGTTGTACAATGGCAATATGTAATAAAGATTCTGTGAAAGTTTCGTTAAATTTCACTCAGTGGTATAAGAGGAGTTGCGGATAAGAGATGGGTACCCCAAAGCTTAACAGACTGACGGACGGACATACCGATTATAGTATACCCTCCCACGTGTCAAGCGGGGGTATAAAAATCGTTGTGTTATTATAACCCCCCCCCCCCCCCCCGCTTGTCAGCAAATACAATTTATTATTGAGTCCATGCTAACTGACGTTTTTATACTAATTCTTAGTCCATTTGATATTTAAACACTGAATTGACGACAGATTTTTCCGTTATTTCCCGATCATGACAAGGAGCACACAGCGAATGTGGTCGGTCGGCAAGGGATGCTCACTCCTCCATGGTACATGATCGCACCTCTAATGTTTTGGAGGTTCGTGTTTGCTCTGCTGCTATTTTGTATTGTTTTATGGACTTTTGATCTCGAATACTTTCGTTATCTCCATATGGTTCAATCATGATTTTTGTTTGTTATCAATAAGTTATTATTTTATCGAGGCAATGAGAAAATCACGCTCAATTCCCCATGTGCACATTCTAACACAACCAACACTTCGTGATCCGACACTTATTTCGGGTGTCCCAGCGTAAAACATAAATTTTGCAATTATTATCATATGGGAGGTGGGGTGGGGTGATGGTTATCATCTAGTGAGTTCATAGCTTGCAGTGCCACTAGTTTGGACTGTCTCTGGGTTATTTAGATACTTTACAGGTACATGTGCAAAGTATATATACATGTAAAATAAAAGGAATGGTCCTCAATTAATTTTCATATTTTGCTCCATTATGAAGAAAACGTTACAAAATGAAATTCAATGTTCTGATTTTCATATTAAACACTCTATAAAAATATACACAGAAAAGAGTAAAAGGGTGGAATAAAAAACGATTTTAACTAGAGGTACTTTGAGCACTGAGCTCACTATGTGACATTTTATTCATTAATATGTGTCCGATCAAAACGTAAAGAAGATACATAATGAAACTATGTAACAAAGATTCTGCATGTGAAAGTCTCATTGAATTTCATTCAGCGGTACAAGAGGAGTTGCGGATAAGAGAGGGGTAACTCCAAAGCGTAACATACAGACAGACATACTGATCACTGTATCACCTCCCGTTTTTCGAGCGGGATTACAAAACTAGTAATATATAATACTGCTACATTTTTCTGTCAGTACGGTGATTCTCCATAACCGAAAAAAAAACAATGTTCGCCTAGCCCTTTGGGCTCGATAAAACGTTTACTCCTTTAGATTCTGAATCAACGCATTGACCTTAAAATAAAAAGTGTTTAATTTAACGAGATCAAGATATCACCAATTTATTCCCTATTTAGCTCAGGTGAGTATTTTGACCAGTAGGTCCTTTTATTTATTCTTTTTTGCCTCCTAAAATTTTTAACTTTAATCCACAAGGGAATCATTATTCTACGGGGGTCCATTTTTCTTCACGTGTTTTATGCTTGCAGATATTTAGAGTGATGACACTTTTTTCTACGGGCAAAAGAGTCTGAATCATTTTTCGACGCCGAATAATGACCGGGGGTCATTTTTCGCCGTAGAATAATGACCAGGAGTCATTTTACGACGTCGAAAAATGACCCCCTGGTCTGGGGGCCATAAAACTTAGACGAGCTCAAAAGTGAGCTCGTCTCAGTTTTATGCCCCCAGGCCTGGTCTGTATTCTATGGGGGTCATTATTCGTCTTTACACTGGTCTACAAATGATACTCTTCTAGACACTTGGCCCCACCTTCAATGTTGCCAAGTGTTTTTGACCTGTGTAGTGGTCACAATTTATATTATTTAATGTATAAATGAATTCGATCGGAGTTTGGTATCATTATGTTTTAATAATGTTTTGAATAAATTTTACAAGATGATATCATACAAAAGAATAACTTGACTCCAAAGTGCGATGGGACTCCCAAGTCCGATGGTTTGTGCAAAACCCTGATGGTATATGTATAAGTGTAAATTAACACTTTCTAAAAAGACACAAAGTATAAAAGGACAAAGTTTAATCAAATTTGATAAATCATAAATATTATCACAATTGTGTTTGTATGTCATTTTCATCTACAATGTTATAAATATTTTCTTGAATATCGGTATTTTCAGCATTTTGTATGCTTAAAACACTTAAGTTCTGGGAGATGATTTTTCTGTAAAGAAACTTTGAAAAATATGCAAGAGATAGCAAAATAAAAAACACAACGAGACTCAAAACAAAGTAAAACAATACACTTGATGTGGATGAATTGTCATTGTCCTTTCCAGGTGTCTGCCTTTGATAAGTTGTTTGCATACCTGTCGAGTGATTGACAACACGATCATTTTGAATCCTTCGCATTTGAGATCGATTATCATTACACATACATGTAAGGAAAACTCAAACATTTCAATTTCTTTTTAGATATATTAAAATTTGCGATACTGACAAATGTATATTTAAAAAAATCATTGAAGTAGTTCTAATTCTTCGTAAAAATAAGTATTAATTTTGACCGCATAAGCTTTGTTTAGACTATTAATCCTTTGGACTTTTAGAACAAGATGTGAACTCACTAAGCATGCTAAGTAGTCCTTTTGTTTTCCCTAACGCAACTTCTGATAGGTCATCAGTGTTCTCCTTTCTATAACCTGGATAAAATGAATTGAATATTCATTCAGTATTTAGGTTGGAAAATCACGAGAAAAGGGGACGACTAAATAATTTTGAGGAGTCGGAGGGCACTGGCTTTGAACAGAAATAGCCTCGCCTTGATTTTAAAAAATCTATCCCCTATTGGCAAGTAAATAAAAAAAATCTTACTTGACTGGTGCTATTGTGGTGAAAATTCACCCCTACCCCTTTTAATTTAATATCTTCTCGTCGTCTTCATATTTTTATTTTGATGGCTCGCTTCGCTTGCCGTTTTGAATTTTCGAAACCAGTATTGTTTTGTTGCGCACTTACGCAGTAATCATTTGAATCTTATCAAAACCACCAACCACCAATATATTTATAGGTAACTAAGGTAACCGATTGTTATCCTACTCCTGGTCAATAACTGTCAAACTGTTGGCACACTAACAAAAATTATGTACAGTATACGTTTGTAGGGTCATTATTCAGTTATTTGCTTTCAGCATAATATTTCAAGGATATCAATAATTTCCGGTTCCTAATTTACCTAACATTTTGGTAAAAATGCAATCATGTAGACTCAAGGGCCTCAACAGTAACCGACGTTACGTTTATTAAAATGCTTCAAAACCGCCCTATCCACGTAGAATGTTTTTAACAACGTTGAATATATGATGATGGTTTTTATATACCCTTGACAAATATTTCCAGGGATATGCTTCAATATTAATCTTCAATTTTAAAATCGCTCTTCCTTGAACACAATCTAATTGCGTTGAGTTGTACCTGTATGTATATATGAATATGGCAAATAGATACCTTCGTTATTGTTGCTTTTATTACTTTGAGTACTTACCTGTTACGTTTATTCCCATGGCTGGTGTTTCTGTCAATTTATTCAGGCGCACTGCAGGAAGACATTTATTGGATATAGCCAATATATGAAACAGGGTCTAGTAAATAAATCAACTGAATTTAATTAATGATCTTTAAAAAAAAAATCTTTAAATTAATATTCTGCTCGCAAAAAGTTCAACTTTAATATAATGTTTGTTTGCCCTCTCTCTACTCAGGATGACTAAAGATAAATATTGAAATGGTAACTTCCCCAATTCATAAATATTTAATAGTTTCCCAATCAAAATGTATAAATTTAATGGTGCTATATAATACCTTCCTCTTCACATCCTCTCACAAAATTACAAAGATTTTCACCACACTGACATGTTTCTGAACAACCCTCTCCATAACTTGGATAAGGGCATTTTTCCCGACAAAGGGCACCGTGATACCCTATATCACATTCTGAAACAAAAACTTGATTTGTATTTATAAAGACTTTCAACTTTTTTATTGGCAAATACTAGTATGGGTACTTTTAGGTCAATATTGCATTCTATTTTTATTCCAACTATATCTGTTCTAAAATTATAAAATTCATGGTCCCTCGGTCAGGGATTTCTGTTTTAGGGCAAGACCCTATTGATCAATAGTAAAAACGCATTCATAGCTTAGATATTTCTATCCTCTTATATATACTTCTTGAGGAAAAAAATCAAGGACATGATTAGATAAGCAAGGGTACTTCTTACAAAATTGTAAAATACATTACCCTTATGTCAGAGATTCTTGTGAAAGGGCGAGGCTCTGTAAATCAAGACATGAAAACTATTTATTCAATCCTCTCCTTGTATATTCAGATCAAGATCAAAGGTTCTGGACTGGAAGCTATTGATCATAAAGTGAAGTTTTTTTTTTAAATGTCCCATGGGGATCCGGGTTAGAATAGGTCCTCAGTACCCCCTTGCTTGTCGTAAAAGGCGACTAAATGGGCGGTCCTTCGGATGAGACCGTATAAACCGAAGCCCCGTGTCACAGCAGGTGTGGCACGATAAAGATCCCTCCCTGCTCAAAGGCTGTAAGTGCCGAGCATAGGCCTAAATTTGCAGCCCTTCACCGGCAATGGTGACGTCTCCATATCATTGAAATATTCTGGAGAGGGACGTTAAACAGTATACAATCAATCAATCATTAAATGTCTCAGCTGTTCCTGAGTATTAGATAAACTAGGTGTTTGTAATGATAAACTAGAGGTTCTGTGAGCAATAAGGTCACTAAATGATAGCCCCGTCTCCCATATGAATATAATGGCAGTGTGCATGTTTTGCTATGGAAACCCAAAATATGTGTCGGATCAGTCGGATCAAAAAGTAAAATAGGAGGTGCACAATGGCATTATGTAATAAAGATTCTCTGAAAGTTCATCAAATTTCATTCAGTGGTATAAACGGATATGAGAATAAGAGATGGGTACCCCAAAGCGTAACAAACGGACGTACAGACAGAGGGACGGACGGACATTCCGATTACTATACACCCTCCGGCTTTTCAAGCAGAGGGTATAACAAGGGTACCTCTTCCACACTCTGTCCCAGAGTATCTAACTTCCGAATTACCTACTATCAGACGACCTTCGTCAAAACTGTGTCAAAATGTTATAAGATGCCGTGATGTCCAATTTTCAGGCCCAGGCCCCAGAATCATGAAGCAGACTTAGACTTACGTCCAACTTTCTATCGCCTATAAATGTTTAATGAATGAACTAATCTCAAAATTTGCAAATGACAATACTTCAGTAAATTGATATTGAAACATTTTAAGTTTGATCTTCTCTTCCAAAGGAGTACAACATGAATTGACTTAAACTTAAGATTTTTCATGATCCTTGGGTAAGATCTCGACTCGCATTGTTGTGAAATAAACCAATTACATGTAGGTTGCATGGGGTACATATATGGTAGGTAAACATATCCTGGGGGAAGTATGATAGATTTAGTTGGTATCGAAAAGAACAGTGTACCACAGACCTCGATCGATGAAAAGGTTTTCGTCAAGACAATATCTGACCATGTTTTCCGCCGCTGATTTTTATCGGCTACATGGAAGAGGTCGTTGCTTTTTACTGTGTCTCTCGCTCTGGTGCGTATCTGGTGCATCAGATTATTACACATTTACCCGTGGCAGGTTTTCTTGGAGGTTTTTGGAAGTCGCAATAAAACATCACTGCATAGTTAAAAGTAAGCTTAAAAATTGAAGCTGAGGCTAGATACCCCCCCCCTCCCCAACCAAACAACCACAGAGAAAAGCATATGGTGTTAAGCGCATGCGCGAGCTTTGGTATGTTTCCATATACTAATTAAACATAGAAAAATCCACGGGTTATGTAGACGTTTCACGTGTGAAGTGAAGTAAAATTCAGACTTCATTGGAACACCGGGCTTAAGGTCATAATTTCACAGACATTTTGATCTGATATGAAACCTTTCTAATATTGCTCTATGGATCGGATATTGTGTTTTTTGTTTCTTATTTATCATACATAAATTCTTACCTGTGCAGTTTTTTAATGTGTTGTCCCAGATGTATCCAAAACAGCATATAACATTGCCTTCTTTGCTGAAAATATTTACAGTCAGTTTAGAAAATGTAAAACTCCTCTTTCTCTTTGACGTAAATAAAATAAATTTTACCTCCTACAAAGTGATTTGGAAAGAGCTCCTATGAAACTCTGACATAATAACAAGTAGAAAATTTTCATTTTTGGAACCTTGTTTAAACAGGTACTTGGATGCATGACATAAAATATATGTTTCAACTTCTTCCTGTTCTTTACAGATTGATTATGACCTGTCTGAAAAATATAACATCCAATTTGAAATTTAATTAAGGAAGTTTTAATTTATGTCAATATGTATTCCAGTCTGTTAAAACTGTTTGATGCTAAAATGAGCATTCAATTTTTTAACGTTTATAAATTAGGAAGTACAATAATCATAACAGAGAGGGTGAAATGTTTTATTCACAATATTTGACATCGATCCCTTTCATATTAAACCTGGAAAACTGATAAAATTTCACTTATTTGCTGTGAATGATATAGCTTAATGGCAGGTGGTTTCATTAACTACATTTCCATGTACCACACAAAAGAAGGTTCCTGTTGAAGTTATTGTTGATTCAAGTTTCTGCAAATTGAGATAATTTTTATGCCCCCGTAATCGAAGATTTAGTCTTAGTCCTGTCCGTTTGTTTGTCTTTCCTTTAACTGTTTGTCCGATAAAACTTTAATCTTGTTCATTACTTAAAATTTATGATACGAGACTATCTATATATGCGAATTTCTTTTGAAGATAAAATGAGATCTTCAATTACAGTCATCGTTTACATCATTCTTAATTTTCAGGTAATTTCTATATCACTTTAACATGCTTTTCATGTATTTATGCCCTTTTTACCTTATATCGTACTCCATCAGTATATATTTTTTTTAAAAGGTCACAAGAACATTATCGACTTCCTGTCAACAAAATATGAAAGTAGCATCATGTCCTAAATCTATTAAGGCATGGAGAGAGAGGGAACATTTAAAAGGATGTTATGTGCCTCAAAATACCTGTGCTGCATTGGAAGTTCAAATTTAACGTTCGTTTATCACTGCTTGCCAAACGAGTTTTTGAATGCAACGTACGTAGTCTGCATGCCTGCAACATATATACTAGGTATGTGGAATATTTTAGGAAACTTCGCCAAGGTTTTTTAGCTCTACTGGTCAGAGACCAGAAGAGCTTATGCGATAGTAAGGCGTCCGTCGTCCGTCCGTCTGTCTGTCTGTCTGTCCGTCTGTCTGTAAACAATTTTTCAAAACGCTACTCCTCCTACAGTTTTGGTCTGATTTTAATATAACTTGGCACACAAGTAGACTACACTAAGATACATAAAATAGTGCATTGATTTTTGATTTAGATGAACGGTGTAGCCATGGTTACTAAAAATAGAATTTTCTGTGAAATTCCTTGAAAACGCTACTCCTTCTACAGATTTGGTCTGATTTCAATATTACTTGGCAAACAAGTAGACTACACTAAGATACATAAAATATTGCATCGGTTTTTGATTTCGATGAACGATGTTGCCATGGTTACTAAAAATAGAATTTTCTGTGAAATTCCTTTAAAACGCTACTCCTTCTACAATTTTGGTCTGATTTCAATATAACTTGGCACACAAGTAGACTGCACTAAGATACATTGAAAAGTGCATAGGTTTTTGATTTCAATTAACGGTGTAGCCATGGTTACTAAAAATAGAATTTTCTGTGAAATTCCTTTAAAACGCTACTCCTTCTACAGTTTTGATCTGATTTCAATATAATTTGGCACACAAGTAGACTACACTAAGATACATAAAATAGTGCATAGGTTTTTGATTTTGATGAACGGTGTTGCCATGGTAACTAAAAATGTATTTTTCTGTGAAATTCCTTTAAAACGCTACTCCTTCTACAATTTTGGTCTGATTTCAATATTACTTGGCACACAAGTAGACTACACTAAGATACATGGAATAGTGCATCGGTTTTTGATTTGGATGAACGATGTTGCCATGGTTACTAAAAATAGAATTTTCTGTGAAATTCTTTTAAAACGCTACTCCTTCTACAGATTTGGTCTGATTTCAATATAACTTGGCACACAAGTAGACTACACTAAGATACATAGAATAGTGCATCGGTTTTTGATTTCAATGAACGGTGTTGCCATGGTTTCTAAAAGTAGAATTTTCTGTGAAATTCCCTTAAAACACTTCCCCTTCCACAGTTTTGGTCTGATTTCAGTATAACTTGACACACAAGTAGACTACACTAAGATACATAGAATAGTGCATCGGTTTTTTATTTCGATGAACGGTGTTACCATGGTTACTAAAAATAGAATTTTCTGTGAAATTCCTTTAAAACGCTACTCCTTCTACAGTTTTAGTTTGATTTCAAAATAAGTTAGCACACAAGTAGACTACACAAAGATACATAAAATAGTGCAATGGTTTTTGATAAGTACAAACCAGTAGAGCTACAGTCTCGACAGAGACTTCTGATTAAAGAATGGAACATGACGATATAACGATCAGAAATCAAGCTCACAAGTCCATTGAAACAATAACCAGAAGTCTCTGTCGAGGCTGTAGCTTACTGGTCTGTACTTGTAACAAAGGAAGAAAAAAGTTCCAGTTGGGACTAGAAACTTTACAACAGCAATAAATACTAGTAGTATGATGATTCTTGATTAAGTCTCTCTTTGTGGCAAGATTGCATTAAGACTACAACTGTACGAGCAGCTTTTAATTTTTCAAAATTTTCAATTTTAGTTACTATGACAACAATATTTTTTTTGACTTGAACGTATTGCATTTTGAAATCTGTAAAGTCATGGTAAAAATTAGCTGAAGAACTGTAGCTCTCCGAAGAAAAAAATATCGACAGAGAGCTAAATGTTATAGTTTAGTATGTAATAAATTATTTTTTTTCTAAGACTGCAATGACAAAACGTACTCCTGAAAACTTCACCTAGAAAACAAGTGAGATAACTGTAATTTTTTTAATACGTGTATTATTTCTCTTTCGAAATTCCATTTCTATAATGAACGAAAACATTCTAGGTAAAAGATGTGCTGAATATAACGTTCATGGTAGAGTCATTCAGTCCAGTTTGGAAAACCATTGTGAAACCTGTCCTGTTAGATACATATCAACGGATATATATAAATGTAAGTGTGTATTTTTAAATCATTTTTTTTTTAAATTTAGAAACTAGTAATTCATTTATTAGCTTGAAGGGGCTGGGGGTTGTGGCCATTTTCAGACTATTTTGACCTCCTTTAGAAGAAGACCTCCGTGTAAAGATAGATAAAAATGTTCAAATTTAAAAACTAAAATGTATGAAATTTTTCTTTGCCAAATGATAGTTGACAGCTTAAGATACCGCTTTTAAGAAAATAAGTTAAATCTTGTGGTTAATTTGTGATTAATTTGTTGACCCCCCAGCCTCCTTAAAAGATTATTATACTTAACAAATAAGTGTAATATCATTCCTATGTATAAGCTGTTGAAAGGTATAATCTACACCATTCTCGCTTTAGATCAGAGTTGCTATGATAAAGTGACAAGCAGCTCTAAAGAAGTTTCCACAGACAAGATCGACAATCAAAACAGATGCATGTAAGTAAATCAACAATTTTTCCCTCTAGCTTATATTTTGCAGATAAATTGAATAAGATACTACTGAAACAAAATTTCTACTAGCTTTTCAGAGTTTAAGAAAATTGTCATCATTCTCTTTTTAACTTTTTTCAGGATCGACAATAATCGTTGGAACATGGTATTTGCTTTATTGGCAATATTAGCTGTTTTCGTTTTTGTGATTGCTATTGGAGTTGTTTTTATTATTATCAGGTTGAAATTATTCTCGTCTCGCAAACAAGTATCTGGCGAGTCGTTGTTGATATCCTGTAGGAACTCAAAAGATAATTTATAAAAGATGTTTATCCCTTAAATACTAGTGATCGTTATATCTGCCTTAAGATTTTACTTATACTCAAATTAATGACGTCATTATACCTAATGATGTAACTATGAAATGTATGTTGTTGACTTTTATGCATTTGTACAAAATCAAATCTGATGTGAAAAACTCACTACGATGTGTCAGTGTATTTTGCATTGATGCGAATTAAATAATAAAATGATTTCTATGGTCGTTAGTACAAGATTAATGTTGCTGTTGTTGCACAAAAACATTATCCGCAAAAGATGGAAAAACTATTGCTAAAATATGGCTTGTGATTACTGGCTGGTAAACGGGCAATGGTTTTGATGAAAAAATTAAAGGCAATAATATTCAGTGGGTGTAATATATGATTGAAATATCTTGGAATTAAGTCAATCTGCTTTACAAAGAAGGCCGTGTTTGAATGAATTTACATTTACACACCATGCTGACGTTCGGGACTAGTATATACTTTGAATTAGAATTGTCTCCCGTTTTTAGTCCCTATATCGGTGGAACCAGAAGAGACCTTAGGTTTCTTAATTCTGAGTCTGTCCGTCCGTCTAGCTGTCTATCGGTCCCTTTTGGTTTTCGCCCGTTTTCCGATCCAGTGGTTCCGGGCTGGGACTTGATCACTATGTAGGTGTACCTCGGGAGGTTGTAGTGGACAACGCCGAAACAATCATTGAATGAGAATCCACCAGTTCTGAGGACGGAACCATGATGCATCGAACACCACCAAGATGTATACGGGTATTTGATGCCTTTATATACCAGGGTATTAAACAAACAAACTTAAACCCTGGTATTTCACAGGTACCTGTTTTGTATACGGGGAACCACTACTTATTTTTACCACAAGGTTCCTGACTCAATTTCAGGCACCCCCCCGCTTCAAGCTTGTATTTTGTTAGTACATGTATGTATATCAATCATTAACCTACTTTAAAATGCAATCGTTCGTTTTGAGAGACTTTTTTCTTGTCAATTAAATCGTTTCAGAAGTCTCTGGCCGAGCCTCTTTATTGTAAACCACGAATTTATTCCTCAAAAATTACCTCGATACAAAGTAAAACACCGAATGAGATACATCTTTTTCCGGTAGGGGTTAAAGATGTAAGATAAAACTAGAGACTTCTGAGCATTTAATTCCGAGGTACCTTGTGGTAAAAATAAGTAGGGGTGTCCCGTTTACGACACAAGTGCCTGTCTTGTATTTTCAGGGAAATACTCCTATCTTTGATTTCTTCAATTTTAAAATCGCTTTTTTCTTTGATGTTTGAATTGACAATACTCACTTAATTAAACTGGAAAATGTTGTTCGCTTCGGCAGTCTCTATAGTAAGTTCTTTATATTTGCGTTTTGTCATATATTATTGTTTGTATCTTCCGAAGGTCTGTTTGAATTCAAAATGTCATCTCTTACACTGGGTATAAATTGAAACTCAAATAAGTTGATGAACGTACCGGTTTCATTAGCAAATGTTTGTGTTTTCTATATGAAATTTATACTTGAGGCGCACATAATTCTTCAAAACTATATTTTTAAAGACATTTCAAAACTTTCGTTGACCTTTCAAACCTTGATATAGTAATTTTTTCATTACAAAAATATTGCTTCCGTTGGGTATTCTCAGATTTTATGCAGATAACATGCAAATTTAGGCCTGGGTAAACTCAAGAAGGTAAATTACTAAAAGTTAGAGCATACGTCATGTGAGTAGGAGTAAGGGAAGATGTCGAATTACATATGAATGCAATACCCCCACCCACCCACAAGATGCTATGCACCTTGATTTTTGTCAAAAATGGACCACTCCCCACCCACGATGATATCAATCTTGACTTGTTTTAGTGTTGCAATATATTTTATTTCCTTTCCCTTATATATTTTTTTTTACATAGTATAGTAATACTGTGTGCTCTTTTTAGATGATTAATCTTGTGTATATGTGTGTTTGTGTAAACGTCCTTAATGCAAAATGGAGACATTGCCTGACCAGTGAAGTTCCTGTCGCAAAGGAATGCTTCGCATGGCCATGATCTTGTTGTTGAAGTTTTTTTCAATTTGAATACTGACACTTGTTACGTTTATTACCAGGGCTGTATTTTCTATGAATACATTCAGGCTCACTTCTGAAAGACCTTTATTGAAGATAATGAATATATGAAATAAAGTCTAGTATTTAAAGGTGCATGGACACGGATTTGAAGTTAATGTTTTCTGTATAATATCACGACTTATATATTTTAATACCATTTCATACAAAAGTATATTAAAAAATTTTCATCTTAATTAAAGTTATTGAAACTTCAATTTTTTGTATGGGTTTGATTGACACATCCCTGCACTCTCACAAATTTTACTTTAATTTATTCTTAATACTTAGGAAAACTGACAATCTTGTTGTATATTAATGAGAAATATCAAAACTTTTATCCAGAAAAATAATTATATTCAGAGTAGAAATGTTAAAAAACAAAACTCCTTCACAGATATCATCATTCCGAGCTTAGCATTGTGTACAAGAAGTTAGTAAATTGATAACACCCGTAAAACGTAGGCAGTTTTTTTTTAAACAGGACAGTGCGTTCAGTTGTTAAAGTTTGCTCACTACAACTGCACGGACTGACAATATACTGTGTTTATGTTTTGTTTTCGAACTTTTCTACTCTGAATTTTCTGGATTATAGTTTTAACATCTTTCATTTATACACAACAACACTGCCACTTTTCCTAAGTATAAAGTATAAAATTAAAATTTGTGAAAGTGCAAGGATGAGTCAATCAAACCTGTCTAAAAATTTGAAGTGTTAATAACTTTAAGATGAAAGAAGCTTTTTAATTAATTTAAATTAAATTTAAATTTAATTAATACAGAAAATATTAACTTTAAATCGTGCCCATGCACATTTAAATCAACTGAATGTAATTAATAATCTTTTAAAAGTATCTGCAGCTGAAGTAATATTTATTGCTTGTAAAAACAAAACCCTTGACCTCAAATTATAGCAACAGTCTTTGAATAATTGTAGAATGTTTATCATCGTGTATTTTTTCATTCAAGTAAGGTATGAATTTAAAGCCTTTTAGGCATACAGTGGTATCTCGTGTAAGTGAAATAACTTTGCACGGGAAGTAAAACCACAAAAAACTCACTTTAAACAAGAGATATTTGTAAAACACTTATGCCCCCCCCAATAAGTTCTAAGTCCAAAGGGGCATAACTCTGTTAAAAATTGCATGATCATACCCAAAACAGAACTTGGTATTAATCTGTCAAATCTGTATACTAAATTTCATTTCAGTATGTGCAACCTCTCTGAAGAAAATGAATAGAAACTGCAAATAATTGGAATTTTTCCAAGTCTAAGGGGCATAACTCTGTCAAAAATGGTGCCGTCATACCCAAAATAAAACTTGACCTAGATATTTATCTGAGAAATCTGTATACTAAATTTCATTTCAGTATGTGCAACCTCTCTGAAGAAAATGAGCGGAAACTGCAAATATTTGGATTTTTTTTAAGTCCAAGGGGCATAACTCTGTCAAAAATGGCGCGATCAGATCCAAAACAGAACTTGACCTAGATATTTATTTGAGATACCTGTATACCAAATTTCATTTCAGTATGTGCAACGGTTGTGAAGAAAATGAACGGAAACTAAATGGACAGACAGACAGCAGCAAAGCAATATGCCTTCCCTTCTTCGAAGGGTGGGGGATAATAAAAAAAATTAACCCTGAAGTGTAAATTGATGCTCTTTTAGTTCTGTGTGTAGTGATTTGATAGAGATCTAGCCGAACAATTAGAATTCATGCAGTAGTGATTGTAGAATCAAGATTTCAAAAACTGTGATGAAAACAGTACTGAAACAAAATGTATTTTTGGTTAGGTTTTGTGGGATGCCTGTTTTGACCCCTCACCAGAACAGATGTACTTACTCCCTGATACCGAGCTCGCTATACGATTATCCGACTCAAGTCCTGGTTATATTCAACATTACAATCAGTTTCTTAACACATACTCATTCATATAAGACTATAATCATATAAAACAAGAGGCCCATGGGCCACATCGCTCACCTGAGCACTGTGGCTAGCATAAAAGCAGAAATTAGTTTATTATTGAAAAGTTTAAAGCCAAAAGTAGTCCCAACCGTTCCTTAAAGGTGAGAGGGTATGATTTGCACAAACTTGAATCTACACTACCCGAGAATACTTCCTTATAAATACATGTATGACCAATCATGGCTTTGTTATTCTTGAGAAGAAGATTTTTAAAGAATTTTCCTATATATTACTATGTAAAACTTTGGTCGGCCAATGTGGCCCCGACCAACCCCTGGGGGTCATGATTTGAATAAATTTGAATCTACACTACCTGAGGATGCTTCCATATAAATACATGTATGGCCAATCATGGCTTTGTTATTCTTGAGAAGAAGATTTTTAAAGAATTTTCCTATATATTACTATGTAAAACTTTGGTCGGCCATTGTGGCCCCGCCCAACCCCTGGGGGTCATGATTTGAATAAACTTGAACCTACACTACTTGAAGATGCTTCCATATAAATATGACCATTCATGGCTTTGCTATTCTTGAGAAGAACATTTTTAAACAATTTTCCTATGTATTTCTATGTAAAAACTTGATCAGCCATTGTGACCCTGCCCTACCCCCGGGGGTCATGATGTGAACAAACTTGAGTCTACACAATTTAAGGATGCTTCCATATAAGTTTCATCTTTCCTGGCACAGTGGTTCTTGAGAAGAAGATTTTTAAAGAATTCCCCTATATAATTCTATGTAAAACTTTGGTCGGCCATTGTGGCCCCGCCCTACCCACGGAGGTCATGATTTGAAAAACTTAAATCTACACTACCTGAGCATGCTTCCATATAAATATGACCAATCATGGCTTTGTTATTCTTGAGAAGATTTCTAAAGATTTTTCCTATACATTTCTATGTAAAACTTTGGTCGGCCATTGTGGCTCCATCATACCCCCGGGGGTCATGATTTGAAGAAACTTGAATCTACACTACCTCAGAATGATTCCACATGAGTTTCATCTTTCATGGCCCAGTGGTTCTTGAGAAGAAGATTTTTAAAAATGTCATTAATTTTTCACTAATTCATAGTTATCTC